ACAGAGTGGTTATCTCTGGATTACTACCGGTGCCACGTGATAACGAGGTAAGAAATAGGGAGAGAGTGCAGCTAAACACATGGCTACAGGGCTGGTGTAGGAGGGAGGGCTTCCATTATGTGGATAATTGGAGCACATTCTGGGGAAGGTGGGACCTGCACAGTAAGGACAGGTTGCACCTGAACCGGAAGGGCACAAATATCCTGGGAGGGAGGTTTGCTGGAGCTATATGGGATAGTTTAAACTAGATTGGTAGGGGGTGGGAACCGGGTTTGTAATTCAGAGCATGAGGTATTCAGCCTTCCAGCAGACACAACAGAGAGTGACGTTGTTTACAAAGAAATGCGGCCGATGGAGCGTAATTGTGGACACAGGGATGGTTTGAAGTGTGTATACTTCAATGCTAGAAGTATCAGAAATAAGGCGGATGAACTTAGAGTATGTGTCATGGAGCATGGAACTACGATGTTGTGGCCATTACAGAAACTTGGGTAACTCAGGGAGAGGATTGGTTGTTGGAAGTTCTGGGATTTAGATGCTTTAAAAGAAATAGGGAAGGTGGAAAAAGAGGCCAGGGAGTGGCATTGCTAGTCAGGGCGAGTATAGCAGCTACTGAAAGGAAGTTCGAGAATGATATGTCTACAAAGTCAGTTAGGGTTGAGGTCCAGAACAAGAAAGGAGCAGTCACTTTGTTGGGGTTTTTTTAACAGACCCCCCTAATAGTTGCAGAGAAGTGGAGGAGCGGATTGGGAGGCAGGTACTGGAAAGGTGCAGAAGTTACAGGGTTGTAGTCATGGGTGACTTCAACTTTCCAAATATTGATTGGAAACATTTTAGTTGTAATAGATTAGATGGAGCAGATTTTGTCCAGTGCATTCAGGAAGGATTCCTGACACAGTATGTAGATAGACCAACATAAGGAGAGGCCACTTTGCATTTGGTGCTTGGCAATGAACCGGGCCAAGTGTTAGACCTGTTGGTAGGAGAGCATTTTGGCGGTAGCGATCATAACTCTGTTACTTTTACAATAGTCATGGAAAAGGATAGGTACATACAGCAGGGTAAGGATTATAATTGGGGGAAGGGTAATTACAATTCTGTTAGACAAGAACTGGGTAACAAAGTGGGAACAGATGCTGTCAGGGAAGAGCACTATTGAAATGTGGAGATTGTTTAAGGAATGCATACTGCGTGTGCTCGATATGTTTGTCCCTAGCAGGCAGGGAAGATGCGGTCGAGTGAGGGAGCCTTGGTTCTCAAGAGAGGTTGAATAACTGGTTAAGAGGAAGAAGGATGCTTATGTAAGGTTTAAGAAACAAGGAACGGAAAAGGCTCTAGAGGGATACAAGTTATCCAGGGAAGGAGCTGAAAAAAGGTCTCAGGAGAGCTATAAGGGGGCATGAGAAAACCTTGGCAGATAGGATCAAGGAAAACTCCAAGGCTTTTTACACGTACGTGAGGAATAAGAGAATGACCAGAGAAAGGGTAGGGCCGATCAAGGATTGTAAAGGGAATTTGTGCATGGAGCCTAAAGAGATGAATACTTTTCTTCGGTATTCACAACTGAGAGGGACCTAGTTGTAGAGGAGGACAGTGTGAAAGAGGCTGATAGGCTAGAGGAGGTCGATGTTAGTAAGGAAGATGTGCTAGGAATTTTGAGGAAGTTGAAGATAGATAAGTCCCCTGGGCCTGATGGGATTTATCCAAGGATTCTATGGGAAGCGAGGGAAGAGATTGCAGGGGCTTTGGCGATGATTTTTTCGTCCTCACTGTCCACAGGTATAGTGCCAGAAGATGGAGAGAGGTAAACGTCATTCCCTTGTTCAAAACAGGGAACAGCAGGGATAGCCCCGGAAATTACAGGCCAGTTAGTCTTATGTCAGTGGTGGGCAAATTATTGGAAAGTGTTCTGAGAGATAGGATTTATGATCACTTGGATAGGCACAGTTTGATTCGTGATAGTCAGCATGGATTTGTGAGGGGCAGATCATACCTCACAAACCTTACTGAATTCTTTGAAGAGGTGACCAAACACATGGATGAAGGTAGAGCAGTGGATGTGGTATACATGGATTTAAGGCGTTTGATAAGGTTCCCCATGGTAGGCTCATGCAGAAGGTAAGGAGGCATGGGATGGGGGGAAATGTGGCAGATTGGATTCAGAATTGGCTGACCCTTAGAAGACAAAGGGCGGTAGCGGACGGAAAATATTCAACAGGGTGCTCAGTTACGAGTGGTGTACCACAAGGATCTGTTCTGGGTCCTCTCCTATTTGTGATTTTTGTAAATGATTTGGATGAAGGAGTGGAAGGGTGGATTAGCAAGTTCACGGATGATACGAAGGTGGGTCGCGTTGTGGACAGTGCAGAGGGCTGTTCTAGGTTACAAAGGGACATTGATAGGATGCAGAGCTGGGCTGAGAAGTGGCAGATGGAGTTTAACCCTGAAAAGTGTGAGGTGATTCATTTTGGAAGGACAAATTTGAAAGCAGAATACAGGGTTAACAGAAAGATTCTTGGCCGTGTGGAGGAGCAGAGGGATCTTGGGGTTCATGTTCACAGTTCCCTGAAAGCTGCCACCCAGGTGGATAGAGTTGTTAAGAAGGCGTATGGTGTGTTAGCTTTCATTAATAGAGGGATTGAGTTCAAGAGCCGTGAAGTTATGCTCCAGCTATACAAAAGCCTGGTTCAGCCACATCTGGAGTATTGTGTCCAGTTCTGGTCACCTCATTACAGGAAAGATGTGGAAGCGTTGGAAAAGTTGCAGAGGAGATTTACGAGGATTGTTGCCTGGAATGGAGGGAAGGTCTTACGAGGAAAGTTTGAGAGAGCTAGGACTTTTCTCTTTAGAACGACGAAGGATGAGAGGTGACTTGATAGAGGTGTACAAAATGATCAGAGGTATAGATAGAGT